CACCACATGCAGCCAACCTTTCTGTCGATTTCCGGTCGTTTTTGTGCTCCGTTCGTGCAATGTGTTCCGCTATTTCGGATCTTTTAGAGTCTGCAGAGTCTTTGATGTCTCTTAATTCGTTAGCCGATTTTTCTTCCATTTTCACCGATCTACTTTTGCTCACAGTTGCCGCATTTGATGCGATAAACTCCCCAGCATTCAAGTCTATCCGTCTTCTCTTGTTGCGTTGGCAGACCGGTGAAAAGTGTTTTCTTCTGTTTTGTTATCACCCTGATATTCCATCTCCTTAGTAATGGTCGCAATTGTTGGCTCAGTTGTGATGAGGGCAAGCAAATCCCCTTTTGGGTGTTATCCTTACTCCTGATCTGATTTTCATAAAATCCAAGTTGAAATCGGCCCTTTATCACCTCTACATTTTTCTCTATAAATTCTCTGGTGTATCCATTACTCAGACAAATCGAAGTCAGTTTGTCTAGCTCCTCGTCACAGAAATCATTGTCCGTTAGTCGTAAGCTTCTGATGATCAAACTCTTCAGTATTCCCATCTTCAGTCTGTAGTTATGATGGGACTGAAAATTAAGGATTATTCCCGCATACGAATTTTTTCTGTAAAGTCTACTCATGAGTGTCCCCTTGCAGCGTATGACTTCAATATCGAGAAAGGGTAGTCGTTCATCTTTCTCCACCTCCATTGTAAATTTAATTCTTTCGTCAAGTTGGTTAATAAAATTGAGGAATTCATTTAGATTTTTCTGACCATGTGACCAAAGTGCAAAATAGTCATCCAAATATCGCATGAGCACTCTTGGTTGCTGTGGTTACTTCTCAAATTCTTTTTCCAACTTGTCCATGTATACATTTGCCAAAAGAGGCGATAGTGGTGATCCCATCGGTAGTCCAAATATTCTCTCGTAGATACTGCCGTAAAATGTAAAATACGTAGTCCTTACTGTCAGGTTGATCAGTCGTGCTAACGATTCTTCATGCTGATGCTGTTTCCGAGACAATCTCCTTCGATTCCGGTGAAAAAGTGCTAAGCGTTCGTCTTGACTCGTTGGCTTGAATTTTGATGTGACGATGTTACCTCGCTCTGATGATGTCGATCATATGACGCACGAAAGCTTAGCACCTTTTAACGATTCTTTCCGTATCCATTCCGCCCGCAGGAAGTCCTCTTGTTGCT